GATAGAGGTTACCTCCCTTGCAATGGTAATGAAATGAAGGAAATATTAGTTTCAAAACAATAAAAGGGTCAAGGCACCAATTAAATAGTAAAGTATAAACAAAATCATCAAATCCCTCCCAATTACGACTTAAATGAAATCAAATAATGCATAATTTCTAAGAAAGTAAATTATTGATCAAATTCTAAAAATAGAAAAATTATCAAGGACCCAATTGCAAACATTAACCAATCACTTCAGCCCAATTAAAACATTTTGGGAACTCTAAAGGTTCAAGAGCAAAGAAAGGGTCAAGTAATGATTGAAATTGCAATTATTCTAGGACTTGATTGCAAGAAATTAAAACATAATTGGGCCTTTATAGAACGAGGAGAAACATGTGAGGTTAATTTGCAATTTTTAGAAGTTATTTTGCATGCAAATTCCATGCAACAACCCACGATCAAATCAAACAAGCATTCTGCAATAAATTTCGGCAGGCCGAAGTTACTTTTTTTTTTTTTTGCAAATTTCTTTAGCAAACCAGCAAAATGGCAAAGGCTTGAACAAAGCTCACGCTGCATCCATTCTTCTATAACCTCCATTGACACAAGATTGAGTATGCAAACAAGGTGATGAAAACCCAGCTTTGTGGGCTGTTTTCGTGAAAAAGAAAAAGCAGCAAAAGACATAAGAATGAAATGCAGCTTTTCTTCATACACTTCAGAAACTAACATGATGAAACGAAGGAATGGGACACTGATATGAGGATACAATTACAACCCAAATGAATGTTTAACAAATGCGAATGGTGCGTGGATCAGATGGGTTGCTGTGCAACAACTTCATGAGCTATGGACTTCATAAAGCTGCAAACTGAATAGCATTTGGGCAAGAGATGGTTCTAGCAAACATGGGAGTGACCATTTCATGCAACACAAAGGAACCTTAAGGTATGAGGGACAGAGCTAGGTCATTACAAGAAGATCATAAGCAAGGAAGTCAAGGAAGCTCGATCATTTCAAGCATGCCAGCTTCGGCAAGATGTTCTGCAATTTTCTGCTGCAAATTTGCAGCTCAAACCCAAACGGATATTTTACAAAAAGTTCACAGAACACCAACAACCAAACCGACATAAACCTTGAGCCTCTGGTCCCCAAACCCAGGCCAAGTTCTTTACTTTATGAACTCAAGATAAACTGCTCACAGCAAGAGGATACCATCGAGTAAACATAGAAACAGTAGGTGGGCAAAATAAACACAGTGAATTTTTTCAAATGCTTGGGAAAAGTGGAATCCAATCACTATGAACCAATCATCAACCCCGTGATAAACTTCGATGCAAACCAACGTGATCCAGGGGAACAAAGGAGACAGGAACGTGGGCATGCAAGTACTCAAACAAGAAAAGGGGAAACCAGTTAGCGAATGGAAATACAAAACAGCGAGTTTTTGCCGCATAGTTTCTGGGCATGAGTCATAGTCATCAAAGAGGATTTCACCATCCAATAAGTTAGAAAATGTATCCATATGAAAAATGCAGCAAGGGTACATAAGGAACAACTTGAATCGATCCTAACTAAAAAACAGATTTTGCTCAACTTCCTTCCTACAAAATCAGCATGTATATGAAACATTCAACACCCCAATGAATCTGTAGATGCATCAACTAGTGCCCCTAACTCAACCTAACTCATGTTTGAACCAAGCAACAAAACAAACACAATTCCAGTTACTGTAATTCTTCCCCCCCAAAAACCTAGTCCGAACAAAGCCCCAATCTAGATCTATATATGCCAAAAAATTCTGAATAAAGAACAATCAAAGTTAGAAACTTTTCTACAATTTTTCGTTGCTACTTTCTGCAGCTTCCGTAGCTTAACATTCCCCAAAGGCTACACAGAACAAAAGTTCAGCAAAACAACATCCTATGCTCACGCACTAAAGAGACACAATGAAACGTAAAATAGACTGTAAAGACAAACAGAAGCGGTGGACTGAAACAGGAACAAGGAACTGAAATGGCAAGATCAAAAGAAAGGGAGAACCTGATCTGGAGAAAGCTTTAGTTTTTCAGTGTATTTATTGCTTCTCAGCTTTCTCTCTCGGCCGAAGCTTGCTCAGTGCTTCTTTGCTTCGTTTCTCCCACAGATCTTCGCTGCCCGTGGCTTCTTCCTATCCCTTGCCAAACGTGTTCAAGCTTCTGCCGTCACCCTCCTCCTCACTCTTTTTAGCTCTCTCCCCAGCTTTGAATCTTTTTCCAGCTCATTCTTTTCCCAGCTTTTTCACCACAGTCTCCCTATCTCTCACTCTCACTAAGCTCTCTTTCTCTAGACCTAGCCGCCGCCTCTACTCTCTTTTTCCCCCCAAAACTCCCCTTCAGTTGTCACTGATCTCTATTTCCCAAACCCTAGCCACCGTACCTCACTCTTGTTTCTTTCTTCTGCCTAGCCGTCCAAAACTCTTCTTCCAATTGTTCCCCCCTTTTTTCTTCCTTTGCTCAGCTTTTTATATCAGAAACTCACTCCCGAAACCTAGCATCTAAGGCCCGAAAGAACTCCATTTTTTTTTGTATTTTTTACAACCTTAGATCTTCCTATTTTCTAGTAAACCGTGGATCAAGCCAAGTGTTTTCTATTGAGATCATCAGACGGAGGAGAAAAAATGAAAATAAAGGAACTTAACAAAATATTACAAAGCCGAAGAAATTGCAGCACTCTCCGCTGTTTTGTTTTTTGCCTGGAAATATAATATGAAGGAATGGGCTCGGATCCTGTGTGGCTTCTGGTGCATGAGCTTGGTTTTCTTTTTCCTTTTCTTTTCTTTTTTTTATTAGTTAAATCAAATATAAAGCATATTTTTTTGAACAATTTTCTTTTTCCGCCAAATCCTAATACTCAAAGTCTTAAAATAAAATTAAACGACTAAATGAGCAACGATAAATATAGAAAAACTAGAATAAAATAATAAATAATAATAATCTAAATTACTATAAAATGCTAAAAAAAATGCCTGAAACAAAAATCATGAGATTAGTAAATAAAAAATAGAAAATAATTATCACTAAAAATAAGAATAAGAATAAATTAAAAATTTGGTGTCTACAGTTTATATATTATCATAAGTAAACTTATTTAGAAAACTCATATATTTTAAAAAAAATTAAAGTTTACTCGTCAAATTTATTTTTTCCTAATCCTAGAAGTATTTAATTATCTTATAGTTTATCCAAAATTAATAAACATTTGCTGTAACATAGTGCATTAATGTTTGTAGAATATATTTGTATTAAAAAATCATTGAATACGATATTTTAATCAAAAATTAATATTATAATAATTTCCCGGTTCAACCACACTAATTTAATTGTATGGTTGTATTAGTAACTTGTTAACCCACCATTTTCATTGGTTTCTTGTTCTAGCCATATTTAATAACTATGACTAAGAGTTTAAACAAGTCAAATTAAATAGAAATCCTTTGCATTCACCGTTGATTGAGATGACCAAAAATCAAGCTCAATTAACTTAACTTTTTCGCGCATAAGTATCCATTTCATGTGAGTGTAGCTAAGCTCTAAGACAAGTGCAAAATTTTACACTTTGAGAAAGTTTAACAAAGATTAAGTGCTATTCATGTTTAGCTTGTGTTGATTAGTGAACCTAAGTTCAAGCAAGCTCTTACGCTCGTGAATCCATACCTTTAAATGCAATAAAATCTATCTTTTGTTTTCAATTTTGATACCGTCTTTTATGAATATTTTCCCCCTTATTAACAATAATAATAAAGAGAAAAAAATCTAAGGAGCCCTTAAATTATTGTCATTGTCAACTTTTGACCCCTCATCTAAAATTTGTTTCCGATTGATCCTTAAACAATTTAAAATGCATACTTTGAGGACTTCCGATGACTTTAAGCACAAATCTGACCGGAATTAAAGGAGAACTGAAAATGAAAAGAAACCATCCAAAACTACAGTAGCCATCAGCAGCAGCAACACGAGTGCAAGTCCAGGAAAGTAGCTATTCAGGTGGGGGGGGAGTTCAACGGGAAGTGGCAGCTATTACAGCACCATGGCGAGTTGCAGCTCTGCAGGAGGAGGAAGCCAAAGCAAAGGGAAGATGTGGGTTGATGACAGTGGCGGAGCTAGGAATTGCAATTAGGGGGGGCGAGTTTCTGTTATTTAGACAAAATCCAAATAACTTTCAAACATTATTATTTGGGTCCTTAGGAGGGGGCAAAGTGAAATTTTTATCAATATTTTGGGGGGCAAAACACTATAAGAAAATTTTTTTTTACTTAGAAATTTTTTTATAACAATTGGAGGGGGGCAAAGTGAAATTTTTTATCAATAATTGGGGGGGCAAAACAATATAATAAAAATTTTTTTACTTAAAAATTTTTTTTTTTAACGATTGGAGGGGGGGCGGTTGCCCCCCCTGGCCCCCCCCTTCCCTCCGCCCCTGGTTGATGAGTCTGACCGGCAAGATGATGAGCTTTTGGCTGTTTTGGGCTATAAAGTCAAGGCATCAAATATGGCTGAAGTTGCACAAAAGATTGAGCAACTTGAAGAGGTTTTTGGTAATGCTGAAAATGATAGTTTATCCCATCTGGTTTTCGAGACCGTTCATTATAATCCCTCGGATCTTTCGTCTTGGTTTGGATCTATGATTTCTGAACTCTACCCGGATATGTCTTCCATCCCTGATTCTTCTGCAATTTCCGATGAATTTAAGCACAAATCTGCAAAACATGAACAGACAAAAATGCCCTTTAATTCCGGTCAGATTTGTGTTCAAAGTCATCGGAAGTCCTCAAAGTATGCATTTTTAAGGATCAATCGGAAACAAATTTTAGATGAGGGGCCAAAAGTTGACAACGATAATAGTTTAAGGGCTCCCCAAATTTTTTCCTCTAATAATAAATCTACAAAATCCCTCCTAGCGTCTTATCTCTGCTCCTCGGACACAACACAAGCGTCGGCGGCACGTGCGGCGAGTCCTGTTCACACGAGCGAACCCACTCTAGTTACACTGCATATCTCGTTGGCCTGATTGATGCTCCCCACTTTTAATTCCCACCCAGCACCAGTAGAAGAATCACCAGCGCAGCCATCATCACTCATTCACTCCCTCACTCATTTCTTGCCCCCAAATCTACACACACAACACACACTGACCTCGCTCCAGTTCCCAGACCGATTGAGACATTGAAGATAGATAAAGCTAGAAAAAGGGGCTCTGTATTTTGTCCTTTGTTTTTGTTTTTGTTTTTTAGCTATTTAACTTGGAGAGGACTTTACAGCTCAACCTCACTCTCTCTAACTCTGCACTTTGAATCGAGGAGAAGATTTCACCTTTTTTTGGGTTTTTTTCAGCTTCATTTTTTAGGCCCAGATCAAATCTACCCATTTCCAGGTATAGTGCGTTTGCTTAATTGACTCTCTTTTTTTTTTCTTTGGTTTTTGAGTTTATATTAGTAGTAGTTTGTGAATTAACAGTAACTTGCATTGATTGTGGTGGTGTTCTTTAGTTTTTTTTCGAGGGTTTGAGTCAGAGTAATAGTGAGGTTGAATAAGGGTAAATTAATGAGCTGAGTTGTCGTACTTTTTGCATCAAAGGTTGTAATTTTGCTGATATTACATTTTTTTTAAAATTTTAGTAAAAATGTTTTCGTTTTTAGTACTACCTTTTTTCCTTAATAGAGTCTGATGAAGTTCTACATTTGAGCTATTGGTTGGTTGGCGCTTGAGGCATTAGATGAATATTCTGAACAGAGCCCATTGGGGTGCTGATTTTGAGCTGTGGTGTAGGTTAATTTCTCATGGAATGTAGTCTATTTTGACACGAGGCAAACTGACCATGTTAGTTAAAGGACATGATTTCCCACAGAAAGCAGGCGAATTATAAGCTTAGCATCCATTTCAGGAGTGTCTTTAATTATGTACTTTGGAAAGGTGCTTATAGTTTTGGATTGTTATCAGATTGTTTTATGCATTTCTTTTTCTTAATTAGAATGACAGTCTATACTATTTTGGGATGTGGTAGTTCATATGGTTGGATTTGAACGGAATTTTTAATTCTTGGGGGATGAGATAAGTTATAGGATATTATCAATTTCAGAAATTTGGGTGCTTCTAGGCTTTTGATAAAGAAGAGTTACAATTTACATGGAAGAGAATATCTAGTAGTCTGTGATGATATGACTGTAATGTGTATTGAGTTAAAGGTCATACTCAAATTACTAGTCAAACAGCTTTACATAGTTGAATAAGGAGTTACTTGTTCGACCTCAATCTCGAGGACACTTCAGGAGCACATAAAAATTGGGGTATGTTTAGGTTTTCAGAGAATGAACAAAACTAAGGATGTTCTGGAGCGTAATCAATGAACTCATCTATCTTGTCTGGAAATGTTTCACTCTAAATGTTCGGTGTTAACATTCACGTTGCACTTATAAAGGAGTGCAAGAAATTTTACACCTCATCACTTGTAGGGCTACATCTCGATAGATGATGCTCACCAATACAGGTCTTGCAGTAACATCAATGTACATGGTTTTGACATGCAAATTTGCACCTAAAGCTAAATTTTCTTAACTCCCAATTCTTGTGCAATAAATTTCAGTTTGGCATGTACAGGGTTGTAATTTTGAAAGTAAGATTGAAGCTATAGTATCTCTAGTTTTTCCTCAACAACAAGATAATTGCAGAAGAGCCATGCTAGTCACTTAGTGTTTCATAGATGAGGAACCAATTGTTATTATTTCTTTATTTGCTATCTTGTTAGTATTTAAGATAGTTGGCAGCCAATCTAACCATTTGTATGTGATATTATAAATGCCTCAGCTCAGCTTATACTGCATTTCACAAACGAGGATAATATGCATGTAATTTGACTTGACAACGACTTCCAGGATTTAAAAGATGGTAGATTCTGCCACATGTTAATAATTGCTGTTGGTAGATTAATTGCATTCATTTAATAAATAACTTGTTTACCTCCCCAATAAGTCGAGCTTGAAGATGAAGTGGTAACTAAGCATCTATAGATGGTGTTGGATCTTGATATTTGGCACATCAGTAGATTCTTTATGAGTCTATTTACTAATTTGACGTGCCATTAAGAAGGCTGGAGAGTGTATTCAAAAAATGGGAGTCTTTGGATGGTTGTTTTGATGGCAGTTTTGTGGGTTTGTCCTGTGAAAGAGTAGGTCTTTTGAGGTTAAAGATTTGTCTATGACTTCTTCAAAACGCTAATCTGTTTCTTGTTTAATATTGGGGTAAGCGTTGATGCCGACTTATGTAGATCCTTTGACTGATTTTATGTGACTCAAAATCAAGTACGTAAACATTGTCCCAGTTTGCTGAATGTATTTTTATTATCCTGTTAAGGTTATAATACAATAAAGAATACATGTTAGTTTTATCAGTTTTAGTTTAAGATTTTCATATATCTATTGAATAAATTTTTGGGGCTTGTAGACATGGTTATCATTGTTTAAAATCTAATGCTTTTCCCTTTTCTCCAGGGACTTCTTTTTGGTGGCCGGTTTGCAGATCGATAAACTTGATAGCTATATGTCTGCGAGAGACTTGATACTGTCTGGTACATTAGATGATTTGTCATAACATTATTATGCTTGACCAGTGCCACAATGAGCAGTCTCTTTGGGAATTTTCAGTGGCCGTTGCTTCAATGCATTCTACTACTTTGCACATTGGCAAAGGAAATTCGGACACTTAGTCCGGATGGTGAGTAATGGTTCTTGTGAATAAGAAGGTGTCTATGCTGATGTATCATCATTTTACTTAAGGATATTCAAAGAAGAAAAAAAGTTGAAAGTCTAGAGCTGTTGTGGATGCCTCAATTTACCTAGCTGGTTCATGAATATATTTTTCATCCTAATCTGATGGGACTTTTTATCAATTCCCAGGATATAGTTTTGTTTTCAACTTTTAAGGTTACCATGTGAACATTCTGGACCCTAACTAGCATACAGTACCATGCGCTATTGAGAGCTTGCAGTTATGATTGACAACATCATGCATGCTGACCAGCTAAGGAATGAAAACAAAATGATATGGTCCTTTCAACACATGTTTTGTGATTTGTAGGTCAAGCGCTCGTCAATTTTAGAACAGCCATTCTTAGTTCGGATGGTGTTATCCAGCAGTGGAGACCAGAGGATCCTGATCCATGTGGGTGGAAAGGAGTAAAATGTGATCCAAAATCCAAGAGAGTTATATCCTTGTGAGTTTTTATTCTAGCCTCTAATTTTCTCTAAAATTCAATGATGAACTTATTACTTTTGTACCAGTAAAGTCATTGATCCTAAAATCACCTGGGAAGACGTGTGTATATGTCTGGATGTGAATGGTTTCCTAATTAACTACCACTAGGACAGTATCACATGTTTGCTTGTATCTTGGTCTTTAACGTCCTTTACCTGCTGTAATCCTGTAACCTTATTATCCTTTTGCATGTCCTTTCTTTTGATCTTTTAAGAGAGTTTTTTGAAAGTGATTGTTTTAAAAGCCTGAAGATGGGTCTTTGTAAAATATGTAGTAGTGTTTTTTTTCTCTTTTGGCTTTGGTTGCTGTCAGTCAAACCTTATCTCTCTTCCGATCTCTGTCAGAGGGCTACATCAAGCGGGAAGTGGTGATAAATCAATCTAAATTTTATATGTGGTTGTTATATTTCTTCATTTCACCATACAATCCTCAGCCACACAAATTCTGGATTCACTGCTAATCATGTCAACGCTGTATCTGTAGCTGATGTCCAGACCTTTCTTAAGTGTAAGCTAAATGTTGAGAATCTGTTTGTGTTGACTGAAATAAATGTATGAACTTTTTTAATGGTATCTGAAATATTAGTGGAACAATGATTCTTATTGTGTAATAGGTTGCTTTTCTTATAGCTATTGATAAGTGATAATTTTTTACTTCACTGTCTTTGTCTTTCACTTGGTTTTAGTTTTTCTTTAACTTCTGTAGCCCAATGTATGCTCATTTGGTCTAGTCTATTGCTGATTGCTTGCATAATCATGGTTTTGCATTTATCCCCATCCTTGTCCAGGAGTCTCCCTGGTCATAAGTTGAGTGGATCTATCTCACCAGATATTGGGAAGCTAGACCAATTACAATTTCTGTATGTATCTTATTCTCTCTCTATCTTTCTCATTTTTTAAAATTTTATTTTTATTTATCAGCATGCTTATCGTTACTTGTGCAATGCTAAGACGAAATATTTCTTTGTAGAGCTCTTCATGACAACAACTTTTATGGGACAATTCCTTCAGACATAGGAAATTGCACCTATTTGGGATCATTGTAAGTTGATGATTAATTTTTAAATATAATTATTTGCTTTGCTGTTACCTGTCCTCTTTCTCCTCATCATCATTATAAGAATGCTTGACCTAGTTATTAGCTGATGCGACAAAATAGTTGAAATCATGGATGCTTACTGTGACAAGCTATTGGATGGATGACCTAGATGTTTTTCCAGATTTTCTAGTGATCCCATGGTCTAAGAGAGTTTAAATGCTTGTGTCGTTAATTAACATAGTGTGATTGATTTCTGGTTGTGGACTAACCTTTCATTGGACTGTTTTAGTTAAATTGCCATGGGTGGATCTGCATATCTGGCTGTGAACCTAACCTCTGTTTCCTTCATATTGTACATGAAGCACATTTTCCCTTGAAAGAGTTGTACTAATATTGGAGAATATTAGTATGACATTTTGTCTGTTTTCTTCTCTCTGAACGTCTTTCTTTTTGTGTCTTACTGCAACTGAGGTTTGCTATACATTTTTATCTTCTATGTAACTTAGCCAAAAGTCATTTGTTTGCTATCAGGAGTGATGTAATTGTAGTGTTCTCAGACTATCATATTTCCCTGTAATGGGATATCATGGAGCTATTTATCTTGGCTTAATAGGCGATGAGAAAATCATGCCCCATGAATGTGTCTATTTTATACCTCACTGAACTTTGCAAGTGCATCTGGGGTTGTGAGCTAATGAAGACTGAAACTGATGAGAACTGAAGTTGGGAGCACAAAGTTACATTGCAAATAATATGAGAAATTTCTAATGAAAATCGCTGCAAATCATTGAGATCTCTGATAGTTTGGTAAGAGGACAAATCTTTAAAATCAATTTCTCTGTTTATTAATTTAGAATCTCCTCTTGCCTAGTTTTTGGATTTTGTCTTGGTTTTAACTAACTATTTCTTGATAGTTCCTGGCTTGATGCAGCTTCTCCTTCTGTTGTGTGATAAATCCTACATTGTCCTGCTTTTTTTGACATGCCCACCCAACCCTTACAAACATTTATGACCATAGAAACAAGAATTGCAATGGAGAACTTGTCTGTTCAACTCTAGAAGGCATTTTCTTTAGCTTCAATTCAGATTCACAAGTTTTTCTTATTCTATCTTTGTGTGCAGGTTTTTGCAGGGTAATTACTTGAGTGGATTGATTCCCAGTGAATTAGGAAATATTTCTGAGCTAGAAAATCTGTGAGTTACTATCTAATCCTTCTAATTGTAACATTTTAATGTTGTATTCATTTCTTGTTTTATGCTTAATTTTCTTCCTTGCCTCAGATGGTTTCCCAAAAAGTATAGTTCTTTTTTTTCCTTTGATCCCAACTTCAACTTGAAAGTTTGCTAGCTTGGTTGAACACGTGTGATTTTGGTGGTTGAAGGAGGTTGCCCTATCTTTTGCTAAACACTTTATAATAAAATTTCTTCCTTTATCTTAGTGTGCACTAGCTTGATAAACCTTGATTTTATTGCCTCCTGTTTCTACTTGGAACTATTATGTTCATTTGTGAAACCTACTCAGTGAAAATGCTGATGTTTGGCAAAACTACTCAGTGAAAATGCCAATGTTTGGCAAAACTATAGCTAAGTTTCTTTTTAATCCTTTTGAGCAGTACAAGCCCATCACAAAGAAATTAAAATGTAGAAGATGAATTGCTATAGTTTTTGGATATGCTATATGAAACATTATTGGAAGCTATTTGACATATATTTGTCAAGATGGAAATAAGCCATATGCCATGGAACAAGGGACAATAAAATAAGAGATTTTAATGAATGTTAAGGGTCTATTACTATATGAAAAAATGGGTTGAAAATTTTAAAAGTCGTTGAACGAGTGATTAGCATGTTGCAGCCAGCTATCGTAGGATACTCTTACACATGATATGATTATGTTCAGACTATGCATCTGTCCGTATTTGCCACTATTGTCAACAACTCTCATTTCTGTTTTCATTAGCGGTTTGAATCATTGCCACTATTGTCAACAACTCTCATTTCTGTTTTCATTAGTGGTTTGAATCAAACATTTGGTGTTGCTTAATTACATGAAATATTTGTTAAAAAGGCATATGAATTCTCGATTGGCATTGTGTCAAACTCAGGACTTGTAGCATAGAAGATTTTGCATGTGTGCATGTGAACTGATGGTGTCTTAACGGATGATGAAACACTTGGTGTGCTGTGGTAGAAAATTCTTGTATGCATTCCTCCACTAGTGGACTCCCTCTTGCCTAGAATGAAAGGGAAAAAAATATTAGCCTCAAAAAACAGAACCGACGTGCCTTGAAAATTTTAAAAAATTCAGGCTAACACTTCAAAGTTACATAACCAATGAAGTGAAGCAAGTATGGAACTAAGTTACATCCTTAAGGATGATGTTATCTGTAGGCTGCTAGTTTCATAAAAATTGGAAAGTTCAAAAGATAACGTCTATGTAGAAATCTAAATTTTTGAAATGCTAGAACCAGGATCTTGATTGAATTATTTACCTGAAGACTGAAGAAGACTAGCCGGTTAATTGCTTCTATTTGATGACTGCAACGAATATCACTTGTGCGCCCACATTTGAGTTCACTGAGTAGCTTATGTTATTTTGCTCCAAAACTGAATTATTGGGTGAAAGCTATAATCAATGAAACTTCCTCTTTCCAATATGTCAGCAATTCACCAGGTATCTGAGGAGTTGGCAGTTGTTTTTGCTGTAGCGACTGACAAATTCTTGTTGTCCAGTTTAGAATTTGGTTTGTAGGGCGAGGGAACTGGAATGCTTCTTGGTCATAAATTTGGGATACCAATATCATGTAGACTTTGTTGATCACAGACTTAACACTTGTGCATAGTCTTTCTCCTCGGCCTCACAAGCAAAAAATGAGATTGAGAATATGAGAGCAGGTGTATATCCTAAATCATTGAGTGGATTTGTGAGATAGGTTCATAAACAAAACTAGTAGATTTCGACTTAAGTGGAAAGTTCAAATATTGTTTTAACTCAATAAATCAAAGGAATCTTCAGCCCTTTGGATATTTTTCTGCTTTAAAAATGTTTAGGGGAGCGCCATGTTTTTCAAAAGCAATCATCTTTATTTTTCTGAAGTTTCTATTTCATTATATGTGCAAACTTATTGACTGCCTTTAATATCCGTAAACATGAGTGCTGAAATAAATGAGAGATAAAATGTTTAAACTATTAAAGCGCCTCTTGCTATATGCATATGGAAAAGTGTTATTAGGCAATAGAAATGGACTTTTTTTCAGCTTTGGCAAACAGATATCAGTTGGATGCTAACTGGCAAATATGGTGTTTCCTACTTGTTCAAGAATCTGAGAGTTTTCTTATTGAGAACTTGTTGAAAGTTTTTATTTTTATTTTTTTTTATAAAATCTTAAATATCTGCCACTAATGTTAGATGATATCTTTTGAGACATTGTGCATTGACTACATTGACATAAACAATTTATGTGACCTGGTGTACAACCCATGTATAATGCCAATTTATATGCTGATACTGCAGGGATCTCTCAAGCAACTCCCTTAGTGGAAGCATTCCACCATCACTGGGAAAGCTAAACAAGCTTGTACTTTTGTGAGTACTCTCTGTGGATCTTGATCAGCTCTGAATAGTTTCTTCATGTCTAGCATTGACGTATAATTTCTTTCAATAACCGCGAAATATTCATGAATTGAAGAGTCTTCAAGGGAAGTTAGATTATATCCGCAGGTTTATTTCTAATTTGGCCGAGCGATGCCAACCCTTCAGTCGACTGATGAAGAAAGGGGTGCCTTTCGAGTGGGATGAATCGTGTAGGAATGCTTTTACAAGCATCAAAATGTATCTCATGAATCCCCCAGTGTTGGCTGCACCCGTCCCAGGAAAACCATTGATTCTCTATATTTCCGCTCAAGAACGATCGGTTGGGGCCTTACTTGCTCAGGAAAATGATGAAGGGAAGGAGCATGCGCTGTATTACTTGAGTCGGATGATGACACCTAATGAGTTGGATTACTCACCCATCGAGAAGTTGTGCTTGGCACTTATATTTGTCATTCAGAAGTTAAAACATTATTTTCAAGCACACACTATTCGACTCATATCTAAGTCTAATCCCATTAAATATGTGATGGCAAAACCTGTACTGTCTGATCGGCTCGCGAGATGGTACCTCCAGTTTCAACAATTCGAAATTATTTATGTACCTGCGAAGGCTGTCAAAGGATAAATATTGGCAGACTTTTTAGCTGATCATCCCATACCTGCCGAGTGGGAGTTGACTGATGAACTCCCCGATGAAGAAGTGTTTATGGTCGAATCCCCGTGGTCAATGTATTTCGATGGAGCTGCTCACCGTGACGGAGCTGGTGCGGGAGTTGTCTTTTATACTCCTGAAGCAGATGTATTGCCGTACTCCTTCACTTTAACACGCCGGTGTACAAACAATGTGGCCGAATATCAGGCGTTGATTCTTGGGCTTGAAACGGCCGTAGACATGAAGCAGTTGCATCTTAGAGTCTATGGTGATTCAAAATTGGTGGTAAATCAACTTCTTGGAATTGATGATGTCAAGAAACCTGAATTGATTCCATATTATAAGTATGCAAGACAACTCATGGGATATTTGGATAGTGTCACTATAGAACATATCCCTAGAAATTTCAACCAACAAGCTGACTCTTTGGCAAAAGTGGCGTCCATGATCACTTTACCTTCTCATCGAAATCAAATTTCAATATGTCAGAATTGGGTCATACCTCCGATGTTTGACGAAGAAGGTGATGGTGAGGAAGAAAATACTTATCATATTTTTGTCCATGAGATCGAAAAGGAGGATTGGCGTCACCTCATCATTGATTATCTTAATCATGGGAAGTTACCAAAAGATCCTAAGAAAATGGTTGATATACGTCGTCGACCACCACGTTTCATTTACTACAAAGGGACGCTTTACCGAAGGTCATTCGATGGGGTGTTTCTACGATGTCTTGGAGAAGATGAGGCCATGCAAGCAATGGAGGAGGCTCACTCTGGGATATGCGGTGCTCACCAGTCTGGCCCGAAATTACACTTTCGCATTAAAAGAATGGGATACTACTGGCCAACAATGGTGAAGGACTGCATTGACTTTGCTAGAAGATGTCAAGCTTGTCAATTCCATGGCAATTTCATCCATCAACCTCCTGAACCATTACACCCAACTGTGGCTTCTTGGCCATTCGACGCTTGGGGTTTGGATATAGTTAGTCCTCTGGTGGACACATTTTCATTTTGGCGGTGACAGATTACTTTTCAAAGTGGCTGAAGCGGTTCCCCTAAGAGAGGTCAAAAAGGAGAATGTAGCAGATTTTATTCGCTTGCACATTATTTATCGGTACGGAGTCCCGCGCTATATTATCACCGATAATGGTGAGACTTTTTGCAATGTAGCAATGAACAAGCTTTGCGAAAAGTTTCATTTCAAGCAATACAATTCGTCCATGTACTACGCTGCTGCAAATGGACTTGCTGAAGCATTCAACAAGACCTTATGTAATCTGTTGAAGAAAGTCGTGAATAAATCGAGAAGGGATTGGCATCTTCGAATTGGAGAAGCACTTTGGGCATACCAAACTACTTTTCGAACTCCCACGCAAGCGACCCCATACGCGCTTGTTTATGGTGTTGAAGCTGTTCTTCCACTTAAGTGTCAAATACCTTCGCTAAGAATTGCGATTCAAGAAGGGCTCAGTGGAGAAGATAATGTCCGTCTTCGCCTTGAGGAGTTAGAAGCACTCGACGAAAAGAGATTGGAAACCCAGCAACGGATTGAGTGTTATCAAGCCCGCCTTTCAAAAGCATTTAATAAACATGTCCGGCCACGCTCTTTCCAGATTGGAGATTTAGTACTCGCCGTTCGGAGACCAATCATTCTCACTCATGGCGGTAAAAGAAAGTTTATTTCTAAGTGGGATGGGCCCTATGTTGTTCGAGAAGTGTATACAAATGGCTCATACAAGTTGGTTGCTGAAGATGGGTTAAGGGTTGGCCCCATCAATGGCAAGTACCTAAAAAGGTACTATGCGTAATCGGAACCGCGCAAGGCTCCTGGCCCGCATGAGCTAAAACTGTGGATGGCGACCACCAATAGTGTAGTATGTGGTTAAACTGCTGAAACACTCCACCAAGTCTAAGGTGGTAAACAAATAGATACTCCTGGCCCGCATGAGGTTAAAATGTGAACGGTAGGAACTACGTGTGACTTGATTCCCTTGTTAGGATACGTAGGCAGCTTGGAGGGCAACTTCTAAGTTCAGTTACACCACTCCAAATCAAATCCTTGTCCCTTGTAAAAAAAAAAAAAAAGGAATTTCCTTTTTCCAAAAAAAAAAATAAAACATAATAAAATGCTCCATTTGAGTTCTTTTCTCTTTTAAAAAAAAAAACAAGAGATAAGAAATGAAAAGCGTTTTATTATTGAAAAAAAAAGAAAGAAATTCATTACATGGAAAAAAAAGTGATGAATGGCAAAAGAATTCAGGAAAAAAAAGAACATGGTGGAAAGTCTAAACATCAAATTTGTATACAACTACAGCTACTTTATATGATTCAAGTGCAGACTTCATGTCCTCAAGTTCCTTCACAGCGTCATCAGTCAAGATGCTGGTCTGTTCAATGGAAGATAGCTCATCATGCGCTTGAGTTATTTCGACCTGGATCTCTTTGAAGGTCTCATGCTTTTGATCGATAGTTGAGGTGATTTCCAGGCTTTGCTTCTCCAAACTGATGAGTTCCTGTTGCAGAACCTTCTTCCTGGCTTCAATGGATTGCAACTCTTCTTCAAGACTTTGCAAATGACGAGTCAGTTCTTCTCCCTTTGCCTTAACTTTCTTGAGTTGGACGGTCGCTTTGGAAAGGAGTTCTGCATGTGTTTCCTTGTTCATCCTTTCCCACGATGAAGATGCTAGAACATCATAAGCCTCCGCCTTGGCAAACAATTCCATCAAGTGGTCTTTTAAAGGGAGATCATTGGCGGGATCCGTTCTTGTGATTTCTGCAATGATTTCCTCTGCACACTCTTTTAAAGAAGAGATCTGCTCGATTGGAGTGTCAAGAATCTGTCCGCGGAAATCCATCCACAAACTCTGCAAGTACTTTCTTCGATGTGCCTGGATCAACTTTTGGCCATGAAATTCTGAAACCAGTGCTACCTTAGGTCTTTTTTGAATTTCATGTGAACTAGTCAGTTCCTTCTTATGCATTGACGAGGTACCTCCACTGGGGGCAAATTGTCTGGGAGTACTGATGCTACTTCGTCACTTTTGTTGTTTGAGATTATATCCTCAGTTTCGAGTTCGGATGGTGAATTGTTACCAACACCTTCTTGACGAAATTCAAGAAACGGGGGCTGAAAAGGAAGAGGTTACAAAAAAAAAATTATTACAAAAAGGAAAAAAAGAATGGAAAGATGATTACCTTAAGTGGCGACACTCCAACCGATGGTGGTGTAAAGGAAACCTCCTCTAAATCAGAAGATGTCCTCTTCTTTGATCGGTTCCAGTGACAGTCTTGACTACTACTACCGCTCGCCAACAAATGCGTTCCTCCTTGGGTAGATCCGACGCCCTGAACTTGAGTCCCTTCCCTTTCTATAGTCTCGATAGAATCACGATTGTCCACCGTTTCAATTTCGACATCTTCTTCAGTGCGAGTTGCTGATAAGGGTTTTGAAACTTTGGGCGGTGTCTTCTTCGCTGGAACCACTGGTTGCACCTCTTTGATGGCCTGTCGAGAGTCCTTGGAAGACTTATTCCTTGCGACAATGTTTTTCGAGGGACTGCTAGTAATTTTGTTCTTTTGAAAGGTGGATGAGGCAAGGCCCGTTACAATCTCTATAGCTCCATTATGATGCCCTGACTCGTTAGCGGAGGTAATCTTACCCTTCTTTGATGATTGTTGAGGGATCTTAACGGTGAATTTAAAGGAAGTTGAAGAGACACTATTTGACCGAGTCGACCACCAGGCGTCATAGTCTTTTGTGATCAATGGATGCTTCCTGTGCGTGGGTATAGTCATCCGAGATCGCGTCTGCGTGCGAACTGAAGAATCCCATAGTTGAATAGCCTCGCCCAAAGTGTAAGTGTGAGTGATTTCTTTCAAGTTGTTGGGGATGTTTTGACAAAAGCCGAATTGTCTGCTAAACCTGCAAGAATTATATTTTTCAATAATGAAAGTATTGTCCTTACGTAGAGTTAAATGGCAAGAGCGTTGACTAATGAAATAGCTCATGAGTCTTGATGATAAGGATCCATCATCGATCAACGCCTTTTCTTCATTCTCAGTCCAGCACAATTTAGGGAGCATCAAAGGATTCACTTCTTTGAAAATTTCCTCAGCTTCCAATTGGCCATAAAATATTGCCATTTTCTCACCGCTAAATCTTGTCATGCGCGCGTGGTGGCTACTCACTTGATTATTCTCGTGATATACGTCAAAGTATTGGCCAATCCAAGTATAGACGTAATGGATTGGAAAAGCTACCCCGCATTCTCCAAGGTTAGGGGCGTGGACGATCTCCCTCAACCCATGATATATGCTCGCAAGGACGGGAATTGCAAGACAAAATCTTTTCCCTGTAGCCATTAAGCATGCAACCTTAAAGACACTTGGGCGAATACGATCGACCTTTTTTGCTTGGCAAAAGAAACTTGCAAATCCAGCACGCTATAAATGCCGCAATGTAGGTTTCCTTTCTTAAATACCCTGGAATGTCCAGTGTGTCGAAAGGGACGTTGAAGTCCTTCGTATCAGCAAGGTCGTAAGGCTCCACGCTTCCAGAAGGGTTGTAAGTCATTTTTGGTTTAGACGTGGTCTTCCTTCTATTCGCTCTACTCGGAGGAGCCCTATACCTAGTCTCTCCTTTGAACTAGAAGCGAATCCAGTCCTTCATCCATACCCCTTGGTCGTTCGTCCAAAGGTGGTAGTAGGCAGAAAAGAGGTGCTTGCAACTCTCGGGGAGAAGTGGCTTCCCTTCTTTGTCACGAGTGAGGAGCTCCCGCGCCGAAGGAACAACTTCATCAAAAAACGTGCCATCGATCGAAAGGCCACCAAGTCGATAAAGGTCCCAAAGTGTGATGGACAACTCCCCAACGGGCGTATGGAGTGTGTTCGTCGAGGGACACCAATATTTGAAGAAGGCACGCAAGATATTTTCACAGCGGTCGTAGGAGTATCTCGACGCGTAGACGGCTTCAAATATACTAGCGCGTGTGAGTATGTCTTTATGCCTTCCAAGCATGTCCTCAACCCACTCCCAATAATGGGAGGTGAAGCACGCCTCACCGAAGAATGACGAAGGGGTTTTTCATGTAGCTTTGTCAACATTGAATCCCACGAACGGAAGAGTGAATTTGGCTATTTCTGGATCTCCATTGTGAAGAGACGAGTTTAGCACGACCACTTCTTCTTCCCTTGACGTAGTGGAGAAAGTCGACGGTGCCACCACTTCCTTAGTCCACTTGCTAGTCCAATCTTCGAGATGAAAGCATCCTTCGAGGGGTATGAAAGATTCAGCAAGCGGCCCGATTGCTGGTTTGTAAACATGGAGTGACAAGCTCTTTGATTGAGTTCCTCCCCGTTCATCCATCAGTGAAATATGCGGCAGTGGCACGGCGTAGTCCTTAATTTGCATGATTGCAGGAATTTTGAAAAGGAAAGTATTAGACGATGAAGGGAATTTCTTCCAAAATTTTGGTAATTAAATTACCTAATCAGCGGCTTTCTTCAAATCCCCGAAATTGTTTCAACCTCTTTTTCCGGCACGAGGTGGGCTCTCTACAGGAGAACAAGTTAGTAAAATTGAGATATTGACAGGGGAAGGGGCTTGCTCAAGTATTATATTTGGTGTTATATTTGCTCAAGCACAAAAAAAAACAAAACAAAACAAAACAAAACAAAACAAAAAACAAAACAAAACAAAAAATTTTTTATTAGGGTCAAAGTTTTAGCAAAAAGAAGGGGAAAATTTTTGCCCAAGTATCATGTTTGGTACTTTCTTAATAGATGAAAAAAAAAACAAAAAAAAACAAAAAAACAAAAAAAAAACAAAAAGAGCAAAAAAAAAAACAAAAAAAAAAGAAACAAAAAAAATGGTACGAAAATTAAATTTTCAGCTCTGAGGAATAGCTCAAAAAAAAAATATTTTGACTTGAGCTTCATTCTCAAATGATATTTTGAGAAATTTTTTAGTAAAATCGTAGGGCTCTAAGTGTCTCCAGCTTCTTGTAATAATTAAATGTTGCA